AAAATCAACTTGCTCAAGACACGTTGTTCATCAACCGAAGATTAAGAGCAACAAGTCATAAAAAGGTCTTCCTAGAGCGAAGATTGCGAAACAATTTTGTTGATCAGACACAACTGCGGTGCCAACTTCATGAAAATGAATATGATGTTCGAATGTGGTATGTAGGATAATTGATCCTAGGACACTTATCCAAGGGATGTTGGTCGAGAGTCCTTGATTAAAGGACAATCTTCATGGAAAGAATAATAAAATCCTTCCAATATAATCAGCGAGAAATAATCAATTGTGACGATCGAAGCTTGAATAAATATCCATTAATAATCTCTTTTGTGAACCGAGTCTAGTAAAAATTATTCTTCGCAAAATTGCTTCCAATCATGGGTTGCAGTGTGGTAAAAATTGGTATTAATAAAAATAATTGGATTTAATAAAGTTGGTGTAAAAAAATGGTAAAAAAAATAATGAGTATAAAAATATAAAGGGTTTTAAAAAATATAAATGAGTGTAATAAAATAATAAAAGGTTGAAAAAAGATTGTACAAAAAATAATGAACGAGAGAAAAAAAATTGGGTTGAATTCTCTCTCTCTCTCTCTCTCACTCTTTTTTTTTTTTTTAGGATGGATGCTGAGAGAAGGGTTGAGAAAAGGAGGTGAGGAGTGTAGTTCTCCGGTCAGAGGGGGAAAGTCTGGAGTGAATGATTGGAGGGTTAGGGGTGGATGATTCCTGAAGAGTGAAGGGCTTGCGAAGAGGGGGGTCTTCGGTGATGGTTGATGGTTTGATAGCGAGGAGCTAGAGGTAGTGAGGATATGATGTTGCGAAGCGGCGCATTTTGGGGATGCTCTAGTCTTCGGTACACGGAAGCAACCGACTGTAGTGTAAGTCTGCAATGCAAAGTCTCCACCTCACGGTGTCTCGGATTGAGAAGGACTATAGCGCCTGTGTATGAGAAGACTGTAGTGCTCTTTGGTATATTAATGCGACTCCTTGATATGGCATAGTTCTTCGATTAGGTCTTGGTCTTCGGTCCTGAGCACAGAGGATGAGAGGGCTAATGATGAAAAATGCCATTTTTTCTTGAAATTTGATACCGTAGAGGCTATAACTTCATGTTTACCCAAGGGAATTCTTTCTAAAGCATATGAGGATAAGTTGGGGTGTTGGGAAGAGGAAAACGTGTCTGAGAGTATGAGAAAGAAAGACAAAAGTAAGGATAATGTATGAGTTTAAAGTAAAATGTTGCTTTATCATGTGAAAATGTCAGGAAAGTATAGGAAGACTTTATCGTGAAGTAAAGGGATGTATATTTATCATTCTTTTAAAATAGAAAAAGAAGCATATCTCCGGTATTCATAATATGATCTTCGAAAGGTTTGCAGACACCTTCTTCAAATATCAAGTCTTCACCAAATATCCATGATATTTTGTCTTCCTTCCGAAGCAAAAAGGTGCCTTGAGTAAAATCTTCAAGAGTTTTAGACCAAAAATATCATCTTTCTTCTTTTTTTTTCAGCAGCAAGATATAATCTTCTTAAACCCAGATTTTCAACAGAAATACGAACGAGACAGCAACCATGTTTATTCTTGAAAGCTTGAAAAATAATAGAATCAACACTTCAAAAATTGAAAACTCATCATAAAAAATTTCTGGTTGTGAACCCAGAAATTCTTGTATGAAAATCAAAAAATACAATATGAAAGTAGTCGATCGGGAGTGGTTCCATTGAAATAATCACTTAGATCTTCAATATACGGCTCTGATACCAATTATAGGAGTCCATTTGTACGATCGACTAGGTGTGGAATAATAAGATCCCGTGATTTAACAATAACAAAATATAAATGAAGTTCATAAGATGAGTAATTGAATGACATTAATAAAATAGAGGTTACAATATGAAGAACGAAGAAAACTTCGATGGGAGAGATCCCAACCGAGAGTTTCTCTCTGACTAAAACAAAAGACAACATATTTGGTGCACACTAAAACAATGACCACTCCCTCTCTATTTGTAGAGAGAGGTACCTTAAAAACAATAAAGGGTAATAAAATAACCCAACTTATCACTCATAATTTGTAGAGCATTTCCATGCTTCAACACAACGGTCAATGGTTAAAAATTCAAAAGTCAACATTCAGCTAAATTGCACCATGCGTAATAGCTCCACGCTCTACATAGATTCTAAGGTAGCAAAAACGGGGAAACATAAGTCTACGCGAAGTAAAGGGATGTATATTTATCATTCTTTTAAAATAGAAAAAGAAGCATATCTCCGGTATTCATAATATGATCTTCGAAAGGTTTGCAGACACCTTCTTCAAATATCAAGTCTTCACCAAATATCCATGATATTTTGTCTTCCTTCCGAAGCAAAAAGGTGCCTTGAGTAAAATCTTCAAGAGTTTTAGACCAAAAATATCATCTTTCTTCTTTTTTTTTCAGCAGCAAGATATAATCTTCTTAAACCCAGATTTTCAACAGAAATACGAACGAGACAGCAACCATGTTTATTCTTGAAAGCTTGAAAAATAATAGAATCAACACTTCAAAAATTGAAAACTCATCATAAAAAATTTCTGGTTGTGAACCCAGAAATTCTTGTATGAAAATCAAAAAATACAATATGAAAGTAGTCGATCGGGAGTGGTTCCATTGAAATAATCACTTAGATCTTCAATATACGGCTCTGATACCAATTATAGGAGTCCATTTGTACGATCGACTAGGTGTGGAATAATAAGATCCCGTGATTTAACGATAACAAAATATAAATGAAGTTCATAAGATGAGTAATTGAATGACATTAATAAAATAGAGGTTACAATATGAAGAACGAAGAAAACTTCGATGGGAGAGATCCCAACCGAGAGTTTCTCTCTGACTAAAACAAAAGACAACATATTTGGTGCACACTAAAACAATGACCACTCCCTCTCTATTTGTAGAGAGAGGTACCTTAAAAACAATAAAGGGTAATAAAATAACCCAACTTATCACTCATAATTTGTAGAGCATTTCCATGCTTCAACACAACGGTCAATGGTTAAAAATTCAAAAGTCAACATTCAGCTAAATTGCACCATGCGTAATAGCTCCACGCTCTACATAGATTCTAAGGTAGCAAAAACGGGGAAACATAAGGCTACGCGATGCGTAGCAATAATTATACCCCATGTACTCCCAAAATTCTTAACATAACTATTAAGCCCGTAATACAGGAGGTTAGACTACCAAACATGCAGATCTAAAGTAGATAGACGTTTTATGGATAATGTCGCTAACATTATCCATTTACATGCATACCAAGGACACAAAATCATAACCTAAGTGCAACAACTCACTTAAAGCTCCAAAGATCATGCATGGATGGATGAGAGTGACCAAACTCTCATTTTCATGAATAAAGAACTCCAAAATCTATTGGAATTGATACTCTAATGGCCAAGAGTAGCATGTTGTGTGGGGACAAAACATGGAAATTCTTAATCATCAACTAGATCTATTAGTAAACTCATCAAGGTGGATACTTTATACATCCTATAGATGGATGAAGGGAAGATACTTCTGGATCCAAAATTGATTCAAGATTCTAAGAAACTCCACCACATTCCACTTTCTTCAAAAGCACACAAATACACTCTTAAGCTTACAAATACACCAAAAAGGGATTAGGGTTTCAAAGGGGACGTTTGGGGGAATGGGGGCTGAGAATGGAAGGGCCTCATGAGAGTTAGATCCTTAAATAGGGCTCAAAACTCCAAGATTGGTGTTTAATCTCTAGGAAGGTATGGGTTGTGTACCCAGATCTATGCCCAAGGTAGATCATTAAAACCCTGTCTACAAGATTCCTTTCTATGCAACGTGTAGAAGGCTATCTATGTCCGGCGTAGATACACACCCAACAATATACTTAAAAAATAAAGGGAAGGAATTTACCTCCAAGGATTAAGTGTTACAAATTCACAAAATAAGTCCATCAAATAAATATGATTGCAGATCTGCATTATTTTGTTCTTATGTGTAACCCAAAAGGACACTACTATTTATAGTAATATTATTATGTTTGTTATTATTATGGACACTAATCTCCATCAAATCCTTATGCAATTTAGGATTTATATACTATGTAACTTTGTTTTGCCATGGCCTAAAGCCTTCGAAGAAACCATTTGCTATTTTTGTATAAAGGAAAAGTGTTCCATAAAATGCCTCATAGAAGTGTTTCACAAGTTTATTAGCTTTTGCAACGTAAAGTTTGAATTGTGGCATCATTTGTTGGAATATTTCACAAAGTTGTGGCCTTAAATCTATTTCTGAAATAATTATATAATTTTTACTATATTTACATACTATGACATGATATACAAGGTACCCTAATTACATAATTATTACTTGATAGAATTAACTATACGTATTAAATTTTTTTAGACGAACTAACATACTCTTAAATACCTCTTATGTCTCACGGTAATAATTAAACTCATGGCTTCCCATTTGAAAGTCACTACTTACCGTTAGGCCAAAGGCTGTCACTCCTATTCGATATCTCATGTAAGTATTTAACTGATTTCCTTTTAGATGTTCCTAAAAATATATTTAAATGAGGTTTTTGCTATAATATTTTAAAAAAAAAAAACTAATCCCTAAGAGCACCATTAAACCTTTTGTGTAAATCTCCAACAAATTAGGAAATCATAACAGAAATCATCCTTGACCTCTGAATGAAACATCAAGATTTATAATCCAAATACATTTTTAAACTTTTCTTAGTTTAAATTGATAAGAAAGTAAATGAGTTATAATTGATTCCTAAAAAATAAACAACATGTGGTATGGTATAACCTTGTTGTTCTTAATCAATTCAAACCATGAATAGAGAAATTTGATTTCCCATCTTTTGAAAAAGCATTCACACAGAAAATTTAAAAAGTTGAAATTATGTGATGATAGTTATCTTTAAAACAAACTAGGGAAGAGACTCATGCTTTGCATGGGTCAGGAGAGGTTTTCTTTTTTGATTGTGTAAACATAATGCATTTCGATTGGTACTTTGCTAATAATAGCATTCTACAAATGTTTCTTTACGCAAAGAAGCAAAATACATACAAATTGTTACAAATTCATACCTATAAAGTACGTTCCTATTATGGTTAAAAACTATAAGTATGTTGGTATTATAGGAATAAGGCAAACTCGTAGAGCTTTCGCTATTTCCTGGACAAAATTTAGAGGCAGAAACATAATTTGAGTTGTTTGAAAGATCAATGTGATTTTCACCGGAGCAAATGAACTTGGTTTTGGAAGTGGCAATTTGGCTTTGAAAATTTGAAATTGATGTTTTCAAGTGGTCACTCCCTCTCAATCACCAGTGCCCTGCAATTAGCAAGCACAAATTCAGTAAGCCCTAATATAAAATAGAATTTCAGAAACCTTCACCTTTGACTTTTGGTTATTTGAAGTTAAGTTCCATGCTAAAATACTATGTTTTGAATTTTGACCAATATACCCTTCCAAAACATAAAGATCCAAATCGTCTTTATGAGACATTCCAACATTAGATAAAGGTCAACAAAGCCATTTAAGATGGCTCAATTAGTTATCAAACAGATTGAAAATGAATATATTTTTTATATCAATTTGGTACTCATAAAAACCTAGGAAGAAACATCATATAATCTACAAAAATCCATATTTTCTAATAATATATCTGTAAAAACATTTAGAGAATCATACTTGATGTAGTGGCCGGATTTCACAGATTTTTATCTGAAATTTCTAGAACAGAGCGGAGGATTTTCACGAAATAGAAAGAAGCCAAGGTTACCTCAAAAACATTATGCGAACAAAACTGTCCTTTTTTTGCATAAAAATAAGCAATCTACTCAAATGCATAATTAATTTTTTTTCCTACACATCTCACCAAATGGGATCCGTATGTTTTGCCTAATAGGAGCTCCAATTGTCACAATGGCATTTTTAAAGTTTCAATTTTCCTTTATTGCAGATGGGAGATCAATGTTCTTACTAACATGCAATTAAATTACAAATAAGTAGTAAAAAGACAAACATAATTAGAAGGATTCGAGAAATATGGAACATGTTTCTATAATATGTTATAAATCTAACTTCTTTTCCTTTACATATCCCTTGGAACAAAATACCATTACTAAATGCGTTAAAACATACAACCCTATTACCCTGCAGCATGGCAGAACCCTTTCACAAGTGCCTTGTTGTATGTTACAACCTCAGGGATTATTCCAGTGTCAAACAACTTCATTCCTTCTTGAGCTAATCCATCACTACTGGACCTTTTCCAAAAAAAAAACATAGAAAAATATTTCATACCTTCTTATCATTCTCGGTTGAGGGCATATTTTTAACAAATAAAATACATCCAGCTCAATAACGAACCATAATAGCAGTGAACCTGAAAAAAAAAATCCAAATTGTAAACAACCAATGTGCTGAAAAACAAAACCCAAAAGGAATAAATCATTTATCTATGGCTATCTATTCTAAATTAAGCATCCAAAAGAACACAGAGTAGGTAAAGAAGTCCTCAAGCCATTTATTTGAGAAGGATTAAGTGCTTTTTCCAATCAAGAAGCAAGTTATGTGTTCTATATGTCCACTAATGCTGGTTTTGTTAGTTAAATGAAAAACAATGTCGGAAATGATATAGTATGTATTTATTGTTCTAGCCAAAAAGAAATGAGTGTAGTTACACCTTTTGTAATGCAAAAACAATAAATGCTTTGGGTTGGGCCATTTTGAATGCATGTAATATATATGAGAACCTCCTGTGCCAACAACAATGGCTATACAATGACTCCCACCAGGATCGGAGCAGTGCAGAGAGCCATATCTATACATATATAATAACATATATACAACAACGAATTAGTCATTTTTAGAAAAACAAAAAACAATATACACAACAAAAAATAAATAATAATAAGGATTATTATTAAGAAGATTACCAAAAGAATAACCACCGCCAAAGTCATGCCTGATGTTAGTCTTGTTAGTCCTGAGGAGATGAAGTCGTTATCTGTTTTTTTGAAGTCTGGTGCCGAGAGAACAAAAAAACACCTATTTAATAATGTACTTAAAGGCCAAATTGAACAATATCAAAAACCCATCAATCAATTTAAAACCCTACAAATTGTAAATTTAGGACGAAAATTAGAGAAAATAAACCTGATTAGGATAGAGTATCAATTAGGATAGAGAAATTAGGATAGAGAAATTCGGAACCCCAAATCAAAACCCTAACAGAAAACACAAATCTAACCACAGTATTGTTTATTACAACGATCAAATGGATCATGAAATTCATAAAACGCATCAAATCCTAAAACTTACCAAAAACATAATCGAAGCTACTAAGCCATCAAACAGTTATTGTTCGTAGAAATTCAAGGATGAGGACCATGCTTGCTGACATAAGGCGGTGAAATGGTGATCACCTTCGAAGGCCGATTAGAGGCCATCGGTTTCCTTTGCGGCTTAAAAATTGGTAGCAATTGAGAATCGGAAGATAGCGAGAGGACCACCGCTGGTGAGACACTTCGTTTAGCGTGAGTGGATCAGAAGAAAAGAAGGGAGAATATCATCTCTTGGCAAATAAAAAGAGGCGGTGAAAATTTGTAGAAGTAGAGATAAAGTAAGAAGGTAGAGCAGTTGGGGATATTAAGTCGGTGGTGCGGTGGAGCAATCCAACTGGTCAGAAACGGTGGCGAATGACTCATACCTCAGGCAAAAAGTAAATAAAAAAAAATTCATTCCAAAAAAAACTATAAAAAAAATTAAAAAAAAAAATTCAACCAATAGGATGAAAGTAAGTACTCTGCATAGAAGGAACAAACCATATTATAAATATAGGAAAATGATTTATATGGGTAACTATGTTTCAAAACCGTTCAAAAAATATCATTCAAGTTTGGTGTGTCCAAAAAACACAATCCAAATAAAGCATTTGTACAAAAAAAAACACCAACGAAGTACATTCTTTGTTCAAAATTTGACGTTTTGGTAACCGGTAGCTACCGGTAAAAAATAAGTAAAGGAAAAAAACAATAGGAAATGACTCAAAGAGGTAACTATGTTTCAAAATCGTTCAAAAAACACCATCCAAGTTTGATATGTTCAAAAAACACCATCCAAGTAAACTTTTTGTACAAAAAACACCAACAAACTATATGTTTTGTTCATATATTACCTACCGGTAATTGGTTCTTACATGTTAAATGATAAGTTGGCTTAACTATTATGACATGACATAATAATGATTGACAAAACAATAAATGATATATTCCTCCTTTAAAACCCAATTTAGGGTTTCTTCATGAACGAATAACTTCTTCATATGATTGCTTTTCTTCTTCTAAAGTGATGATCTCGAAATCAGGTCCAAAACCCTAACTCTTAACTTAAGGCAAAAAGGGCTCCTTTACCCCTACCTCAATGGGCCTCCCTCACCCTAAGTCCCAAATCCATAAAAGCCCAAAAAGGCATCTAAGCCCAACTACAAGGCATCTAAGGCCTAATATGGCCCAAGAACCCCCCAACATGGCCTTAAGTCCATTCATACACTTAGCATATGTTGAAGCCTCTACGATTTGGATTTTATGCAAGTACGCCCGACATACTCCTACGTACGCCTATCATACTCGGCTAGGCTCAAGAACTACCAATCTTACGAAGGCCATAACTTCTTCATTCTAAGTCCAGTTTCGTTTTTTATATCCACGTAAAGGAAACGAGAAGCTCTACAATACTATCAACTCTCCCTTGCCATAAAATTTTCTAACATAAACCCAAACTTCATAAGGCTCGAACTGATACTTACTGATATGCCAATAGGCTCAAACACAAACTGAACACTCTGTCCCTACCCTCGGTTGGACCTTGGAAAGACGAAATCTAATTTAGCATTAAGGTAATACTAAGAATTGCAATCTGAAGGCCATAACCCTCTGTATGGTTGTCTGATGCCTAAATTAGCTCCCGTAGATATAAAGAATGACGAAATCACACTTAGAATGAAAAAGTTATGGCCTTTGGAAGATTGCGGTTCTTGACCCTATTCGAGTATGTTGGACGTACGCTAGAAGTACGTCGGGTGTACTAGCTCGACATCCAGATTGCGGAGGCTTCAACATATGATGGGACTATGCACAAACTGGTTTAAGTTAGGCATCGAGCCCACCTGATTGTAGCAGGTCATTTTTTGGGCTTAAGGCCATGTTGGGGGTTTTGGGCATATTAGGCCTTAGATGCCTTGTAGTTGGGCTTGGATGCCTTTTTGGGCTTTTTTTGGATTTTGGCCTTAGGGTGAGGGAGGCCCATTAAGGTAGGGGTAAAGGAGCCCTTTTTGCCTTAAGTTAAGAGTTAGGGTTTTGGACTTGAGTTCGAGATCATCACTTTAGAAGAAGAAGAGCAATCATAGTAGATGAAGAAGTTATTCGTTCATGAAGAAACCCTAAATCGGTTTTTAAATGAGGAATATATCATTTATTGTTTTGTCAATCATTATTATGTCATGTCATAATAGTTAAACCAAGTTATCATTTAACCTCTAAGAACCAATTACCGATTGGTAATATTTGAACAAAACTTATAGTTTATTGGTGTTTTTTGTACAAAAAGTTTACTTAACTGGTGTTTTTTGAACATACCAACTCGGATGATGTTTTTTGAACGATTTTGAAACATAGTTACCTCTTTGAGTCATTTCCTATTGTTTTTTTTTCCTTTACTTATTTTTTACCGGTAATTGCCGGTTACTAAAGGTTAAATTTGAACAAAAAATGTACTTCGTCGGTGTTCTTTGTACAAAAGCTTTACTTAGATGGTGTTTTTTGGACACACCAAACTTAAATGCTATTTTTTGAACGATTTTGAAACATAGTTACCCATATAAGTCATTTCCCTATAAATATAAATCGAACAACTTACCTTTGGGTTTAAATATCTTAAATTTAGACTCGGTGCTTTTAATCCTTAAAATAGGCCAAACTTCAATCCCGATTTTGTTCTTAAAACGATGCCCTTAACTATTTTTGTGATTATTTAATCGGGATGGCGTGGTAAGTTTTGGGGTGCAGAAAATCGTGAGTATGAGTTTTCTCGAAATGTATCAGCATCGAGCAAGCAGTCTCGTCAAACGGCGCAGGGGACAACGGCCTTTTTTTTTTTTTGGGTGTGTGTGTATGGGCTGTTTAGGTTTTCTCCAATCCCTTTTTCTATGATACTATTAAGTCATTCATTAGCCCAAATATTAGTATAAAGCCCAAAACCTATTTCCTTCGTATTAATGTACTGATGCTACGTGTTTTTCTTAAAAAAAAAAACAAATAACAAATAAATGCCACATATTAATAATTAGGGACCCTAATAATAATCTACTATAATAAATGAAGGTTTTTTTTGATACATGTCCTCTTCTCCTTCATTTGAACACATAGCATTTTCTAAAATTTTTAAATTTTTTATTTTCCACTTGTCATTTTATTATGTTTTTCATTTTATTAAATTAAAATTTCACATTTAATATGTAAAATAATATATATGTAAGGTATTTATTAGAAATGGTTTATATATGTAATGTGTTCAATGCATTAAAGTGTCATTAATTTTAATAATTTAAAATTTTTCTTATTTTTCTTATAAATTCAAACTTTTCAAATTGGTAAAATTTCATATTTAATTATTTTTAAATAAACCCATGTAATACATGGGTCTCACACCTAGTTATTAATATGTTAATTATTAGTTGTCTTCAAAATAGTTTCTTTAAATATTTCCCAAAATTATACACATATTTATGACTTAAAAACTAAATATTCTAATAACATTTTTCCTAGATTTATGAATATTTATATTATGTTTCTTTTATCAAATGTATCCTAAATGACAATCTTAAATTTTATTTTGCTACAAAAAACTCAATATGTAATTTTATCTACTTTAATAAATTAAGATAAATTTTGCCACATGTCAATATCTCATTAATTTTGAAATTTGTACTTTATGATATTTTTTAAATAAATAATATCTACATGTCAATTTATGAGTTTTTTTTATTTTTTAAATTAAAAAACCACATAATACTTTTACTTATATATGTAAAATATAAATATAATAAATATGATAGTAAATTGCAATTAATATTTGTTGATTTCTTATTTCAAAATTTTATTTTAAAAAATACTTACTATTTAAATTTTAATATTTAATTTTTTTAATCAACTCGTATAACATACGGGTCTTGCACCTACTATTAAAATATTTGAAAATTTATCATATCTAGATAAATTGAATGAGCGACGAATATCAATATCACAATCCATTGTTTTATTTGATTAACTTTATATTGTATTGTTAGATTAGGGCTGCCAATTCTCAACACGACACGCGACACGACCCGCGACACGACACGAAATAAATGGGTTTGGGTTGAGTTTTTCAACTCGCCAACCTGTTAACACGTCAACCCGCCAACCCGTTTATTAAACAGGTCATATATGGGTTTCTCAAAAAACAAACGGGTTGACCCGCCAACCCGTTTATATTCTTAATAAAAAAAAATTATTATATTTTTAAAAGGATAATATCATAAAAAACCTTAAGTTTGGCAGAAAATATCGGTTTTACCCTTCGGCAGATTTTTGGTTCGTTTATACCGCAAATTTGTCATTTTTTTGTTGTTTTTGCCCTTGTTACCTGCAATAGCAGGTTTCCAGGTTATTATGAATTATTTTTTTTGCAACAAAAACCTTAAGTTTACAAATATTTTGTAAAAAAACCCTTAAGATTATAAACATATAAAATATAAATATATATTCAAAATTTGATAAAACTAAATAGTTTTCTACTGAAATATATTTTTAGCTTTACATACGGTAACTTTTATATTTGTTTGATATAAACTTTTTTATATTTAAATTTTAAAAAACTTACCTAGTTTTAACAAAATTTGAATATATTTCTTAATTAATACATCAACTTTTCAAAAAAAAATTAAAAAACATTTGTTAGTTAATAAATAACTTTGGTAAAATAGTTATTATGAATAATATGGTATCATGTACATTCAATTAATTTTTTTAAAAGGTAAATAAAAATATTTTATATGTTTAAAAGGTTTGTATTTCAGAAAGACAAACATATCGTATTTTTTATATGTTTAAATACATAATAATATTATCATATTTTTTTTATAAAAATAACATAAACATGTTAAACATCAAAAATAAATATAAACATTTTAAACATATAAAATATAAATATATCTGTCTAATTTATTATATAAATATATTTATTTTTATATAAAATATGATAGTTTATTATTTCTGAAATTCAAACCTTTTAAACATATAAAATATTTTTATTTTTATTTTAAAAAAAATTAATTGAATGTCACTAATGTCATATTATTATTAGCTAATAGACATTTTTTAATGTTACTTTGAAAAGTTTAAGTATTAATTAATTAATATTAAATTTTGATAAAACTAGGTAACTTTTTTAAAATTTAAATATAAAAACTTTATATCAAACAAATATAAAATTTACCGTACATAAAGCTAAAAATATGTTTCAGTAGAAAACTATTTAGTTTTATAAAATTTTGAATATATATTTATATTTTATATGTTTATAATCATAAGGGTTTTTTTGCAAAATATTTGTAAACTTAAGGGTTTTTTCGCAAAAAATAATTCATAATAACCTGGAAACCTGCTATTGCAGGTAACAAGGGCAAAACTGACAAAAAAATGACAAGTTTGCGGTATAAAAAAACCAAAAATCTGCCGAAGGGTAAAACCGATATTTTCTGTCAAACTTAAGGTTTTTTATGACATTATCCCATTTTTAAATGTATTTATGTGTCAAGTATTAATATTTGATAAGTATTATATAATATATCCCATTTATTCATAGACCATTTGATTGTTTTGACATTATTACTCGTGGTAGATGATCTAAGGTCATAAGTCGTAACCTATAAGGCTAAGTCTATACCGTTTATTCATAGACCACTTCTCTAGTTCATCAAGAATGGTGAACTTCACCGTAGTGTGAGTAATAGTATAACACATACTATTACGATAAACTTTCCTGCTAAGTGCATCTGCAACCACATTAGCCTTTCCAGGATGGTATAAGATTTCACAATCATAGTCCTTGATCAGCTCCATGGCTCTTTGTTGTCTCATATTTAGAGTTTGCTGAATGAATATATACTTGAGACTCTTGTGGTCGGTAAATAATTGGCATTTTGTACCAAAAAGGTAATGTCCCCAAAGTTTTAGGGCAAATACTACTGCAGCGAGTTCAAGATCATGGGTGGGATAATTCTTTTCATAATCTTTCAGTTGTCTTGAGGCATAGGCTATCACTTTACCACACTGCATCAACACACAAACGAGTCCTAATCTTGAAGCATCGCTATATACGGAGAAATCATCATCACCTTCTGGGAGTGATAAGATGGGAGCATGAGTTAAAAGATCTTTTAGAGTTGAGAAAGCTTTTTCTTGATCTTCACCCCATTCGAACTTTACTTCCTTCCGTGTAAGGGTTGTGAGCGGTACGGCTATATGAGAAAATTCTTTAATGAATCTCCGGTAATATCCCGCGAGACCTAAGAAACTACGAATTTCGGAAGCATTACGAGGCACTTCCCAATTTTGAATGGCTTCGATTTTGATGGGATCTACAGATACACCGTTACTGAAATAATATGGCCGAGAAATTGAACTTGACGGAGCCAAAATTCACATTTCGAGAATTTAGCATAAAGTTTCTCCTTTCGAAGAGTTCTAAGATTTCACGAATATGAATGGCATGATCGGCTTCAACTTGGAATAGATTAGAATATCGTCAATGAATACATGACAGACTTATCGAGCATTGGCGGCACACTCGATTCATCATATCCATGAATACAGCAGGAGCATTTGTCAAACCGAATGGCATGACAAGGAATTCGAAATGCCCATAACGAGTACGGAAAGCAGTCTTCGGTACATCTTGCTCTTGTACTTTCAACTGATGATAGCCAGATCTCAAATCAATTTTTGAGAAATAGCTAACACCCTGAAGTTGATCGAATAAATCATCGATGCGAGGTAGTGGGTACTTGTTCTTGATAGTC